GCGAGATCGATACTTAGGACCTAACCTGTTATAATTAATAATATTTCTCGTTTGAAAATAACTCAGGGAGCGTCCAGCGTTACACATTAATATAAAACACCGAGCGCGCATTGTCGGTTCCGACGAGAACTCTGCGTTTCTTACGTCAGAGATAAATATGCGAAATTATCGCCATGAGTGTCCGCACAAAAAATGCGCGATTGTTCAACCGTAGAAAATGGAATACCCGGATATCCTAGTATCGGTTTTCCCAATGAAAACAATTGCTCGCGTCGCTTATTGTGCGTTGCCTCGCATACATACGGATCCTCATCGGATAAATCCGCCGCAGCTGTTGCACAGAGCGAAAAAACAATAGCCCGTAGAAATTGTAACGAGACTCAACAATGTCACGACTCAAAGTATATATGTCCCCGATGAAACACATGTCAGTGTGTATTAAAGATGTGTGCGAACTATTCGAATTTGAGTCGAATCGAATCGAATCTAATGTAATTACTATCCGATTTGAATCCGAATAATTCGAAAATTTTGAATCGCGAAGATTTGAATATGAATCTAATACTTAGCATTTGCATGCATCAGCTACAAAACGGGCCATCTGGGCCTGTATGTTTGAACCCTTAACTTGTAATTAGCTTAACTTATAATTAATAACTTAATTATAAATTACTTTAAATATTTAAATATATATTTTACTTTAATATGATATTACAATATCAATATTCCCGATTAAAATCTTCCATCATTATTTGTATGTTTAATAGTCATGTTAAATTTTTTAATGATACGATTCGATTTCATTCGATTCGATTCAATTCAAATTCGAATGAAATTTCATAGATTCGATTCGATTTGAATTTGAATTTAAAAAATGAAGTTCGATTCGACATAAAAATTCTTGATTTGCATATCTCTAGTGTATATATATATTATGATATGATATATATATATATATAATGTACGTCAGGTGATACTCTTTAAATAATTTCGATTAAGTTAAGTAGTCCGACTTCTCTCTGCGACAAAAGTTTCATTTCAGACTTGACAATTTATTTAACCAGTAGCAAAAACATTTCCAATGAGATTTCAAATCTAATTTTTCCTTTCCACTTTCTGGTAACTTTCTGTTTTGATATTTATCACCATATAATTGCACGATGCAATAATTATAGCCAGGAAAATCCTTTCCCTAAAAAGACTATTGGCCACTGTTAGCAATTTTGTATGCACGTTGTTATCACTACATTTTGTTGGAACACAAAAAATATGATCACGTCGGAAGTAACTATAATTCTAGCGAAATGAATCATATTTTTCTTTCGTTATCAATATAAAAATTTAATTCCGATTAGTATAGTTGAGTAAACAAATGCGAGCACAGTGGTAATTTAATTCAATGTTCCTTGTCATCAGAAGATCATCGACAGGTTTCACATATTCGATCCGGTCGGATGGTTAACATGCCTCATCGGCGTGCCACTTATCGCTGCTAACTTTCTTCGTGGTGCTCCACCTTTACTTTCGCCTTCGAACTTTTTGGTTCCCACCTGAACGCGTTGCACCGAGACTGGCTGGAACAGTGGTTCTCCAATCTTAGATTTGACAAAATAACTCGTTTCTAACTATGTAAAGTTATAAATATTACGCAGACTTAACCGGCTCAGAAAGATCCGGAAGCATGAAAGGTACGTTCACGGAAGTGCGATGTGATACAATTCGTGATTCGTTCTACCTATGAGGGCAAAAATATCGAATCTATCTGCCTGTTAATGCAGGCCATGCAGGCACCGCAGGGAAATATGATTTATTTTGCTAAAACTATAGTCCCTTTCGACGTAATTGAATCTTTTGTATCTTTAAAAAACTAAATAGTAGTAGCAATAGTTGTGACAAAGTTATTATCATTAACACTATAGTAGCATTTATTACGAAAATAATTGTACGAAATAATTGTATTACGATGACATCACTATGCATTACGGCAACAAATATCAATTTTTTTTGCTCAATGATGTTTGATACTGCGTCGATTCTTTTGTCTTCCGTTTATTTCAAAATTATGTTGAGGAAAAACTAGAAACGGAATATATCTGCACAATGAAATAGATTGATAAAATAGATTTTCCCCATCCGCATTAGATAAGTTTCGCACGGTGCTTTATCGTCACTTTCGATGCGCATCATGCGAGCATGAGAACAATGACATCGTGCGTCGTTACGAAATCGTTATCCTTAAGTGGAATGCACCTGAACGACAATAATTCAAGATGCGATTGTAAGATGTATTCGACAACGAACAATCGCGGAATTAGTAACGATTGTGCGCACTGTTCGCACGTCATGTGCGCAAGCTGAAATCAAGATTTCATTATTTATGGCCATAACTGACAGGTAAAGGAGTGAAAAGTTTAATTCTACCACAAATTATAATCTTTCTTGGCGCCAATTACATTTTTTTATTCTTACACACACACACACACACACGCGCGCGCACACCCACACACACTCACACAGTTTCTCTCGATCCAAAAGATTTGTTTTTCAGTAGACATATATATTTTATTCCATTTCTTTATAAGTCCAGCAACATCACTATTATTGTCATTTTTATATAAAAATTTGGTACTCACAATGTGTGTGCGTGTGTATGCACACTTTCCTTAAAACGATATTTTCCTGTTTTCTCAAAACACGTTCGTCGAATGTTAACAGCGTGGCGCGCAAATGTTTCACGGCGAAAAGTAATTAGAGATCATGAAATTTTCTTGGTATCATTTCGTCCACGAAAGCGTCACGCAATGAGAGAAGAGTATCAAGAAGGAGATAAGAATTCCTTTCTTTCTTCGAGTTATGTGCCACTTACAATTAACGCGGATTTTCGTCAGAAGAACTTCCGCCTACGGCTGACCTTCCAACGTAAGAGAGAGTCCACGTTCTTTACGCATCTTTAAGACACGCGGACATTAAGACGAGTGACAAACAATTCAGGTGCGAAGTAATCTGAATTTTGATTCAACAAGGCCACTGTGCCTGAGTTGAAATGAGTTACCCTAACCGGATAACAAGGAACGGTCGAAGCCGTCTTCGCCCGTATCTTTCGTAAAAAATGTAATAACTGGCAAAAGTTGTAGAGATTTGTTCGCCGGTACCAGCGGGGACGAAATGCGGTCAGTATGTGAACAGCTTGTCGTTCTTTCCTTATGTCGCGACTGTCAGGAGGTCACCGACACCATCTCTCCTTCTTGAATGTCTTTAAATCGGGCATGGTTTAACATAATGGGCGCTCATCTCGTGTCCAGCTCGCTTCGAAACTAGCTTGTTAAAATCCGATAAGACTTTCAGGTGTGTCTTTATGCCGCGCTAATACGCCATTTTACTGCTTACTGTTCACTTGGCGATGCATTGTCATTCTTAAGTGAAATTTGCGCTTTCAATCATCGCTGCACTAAAAGAAAAGAATACTTAATCTCGCTCAAATTATACTCATTTTTAAAACCGACAAAATTGTTATCTCTAACTCTATAGCGTCGCTTACTGCAAAAATAGTTCTGATTGTAATTATGTCACCACGCAACTGTACTCATTCAGTCACGAATATACCAAACGCTTTTCTCTCGGAAAAGAAATCGTCAAGTATACGCGTGTACGCATTTATACAGAGAAAGAAAATGCTGCTTCGGCTTTAGTATTTACCAAGTGAAACATTTGATTAACGTTATTCGCCAGATGGAATATTTTACGAGCTGTACATATGGAAAGGCGCATTCAGGGCGTGAGTATATCGCGCACGTTTGAATATCGGGTGGTATTTCTTAAGTTGTTTAGTAACCGTAAATTATACCCTATGAAATTTTACAGCTTCGACATAAAGAGTATATGAGTTAGAAAGCGCAATATGAAAGACGCATCGGCACACTGGTCTATTTTACAATTATCTCATTGTTCGAGATCGTACAATCGTCAGTGTTTTGAATGTTCAAGATCACTCTCGTATATCGAGTGAAGTTCCACGCAAATTCATTAAGATCGATAAATAATGTACCGCTGTGTTGTTGAAAATGTTTGTGGACGTACAGCCAATATTGGAATTTTAAGAAGTAAGATATTACAATCTTGTTTTCGTTTAAGCTTTAGCTTGAATAAAAATGATTGAAGCATTTGTCGAACAAACGTTCGCGACTTTCGAGGAAATCATTTGCGTTATTTGTTTCTCTAAGATCGAATCTTGTTTAAATTATTTAAATTGAATGAAAAAGCAACAAACGACGAGCTAATTAGTGTTGTGTATATAAAATGCAACATACGCATTTATTTATCATAAGCGATAACAATAGAACGCATTCACGACTCTTTACAATTGTACGTTCTTTAACGAGGCCGTGCTTCAACATGAAACGTTACTTTCTATCGTTAGTTGTATACACGTTTTGTTAATGGACAGCAACGATTGAGTGAGCCTTACACGCAGATTTATAGACATGCGATTTCTTTCTGTCGAGTTTTCGTACGAGATGGTGCGGCTATTTATTCGCGAACTTAATAAACATCAAAGTGCTTATCATTTTCACTTTCGCGCAACCAGTCGAATGAAAACAAACGGTCGGCACCTTTGTTGGTCTTCTGTTTCAAGAAATATTGTGCATACTTGTCATTATTTGTGCAAACGATTTCAAAATGCTTTCATTACTTATTAAAAATACTTTTTATTTTCTCATTATCAATAACTTCTTTTGTTATTTATTATTTTCAAATTATCTGCAAATTATTTTCTTCGCGTACAATACAATACATACAGTTGTCAAATTATTAATCGCCAACGTGAAAATCACGTTGCCAAGACGATGAGAATAATGAAAAACGTAATGCTTGCTTGATAAAAAGTATATAGCAGCGCATAAATCATAAAGCTTTCACGAATTCGTCACGAAGCCTCTCGAAACAAATGTTACTTTTGCGCTCGAATCGTCGCAACCCCGCAACTTTACCCGTGAACTCACCATTGCGCAGATGGCTGTATCTCCACTGGGTCACCGCAACACCGCCAAGTCAACCTACCCGCTTTGCTCCTCTCTGACTCTTTCTCTCCCTCTCACCCTCCCTCTGCCTCTTCCTCTTCTTCGTTTTCTTTCGACACCCTTCGAGACGATATTGCTTCGTTTTACCGATCGCGTCCGTTGCACTCGCTCACATCGCACCACTGGCACATGACCTTTTGCCGTAGTTGTATTTTTTAATCGTAATCAGAGGATCGCGATTCTTCGTTTTCGTAACTATTCCCGGGGTCGAATCACACGAGCGGAGATGTCAACGTGTGTACAGAGAGGCGCGCGACGTTTCGTTGACAGTACATGTGCGGTCTTAGGAACACAAGCGGTTTGAAGGGGCTCTCCCAGAATGGACAGGCTATATAGATATCCCCTCCAAAGGATGACAAGGAGAGCTTGGGCTGGCCGGAGCCTGGGTACCGCGGTGGCAAGCCACCGTGATCCAAGAGAAAGCCTCTCCTTCGATCGGTCCCATGGTGTCGATGTACACCAGACGTTTTTATATAATATGTTCAATCCTATAATATTAACATTCGCTTGATAAGGTGCCATGTCACCTTCGACCTTGCGCCTATGTATGAAAAATCTTACGAGCAATCCCACGCTGTAAAAAGATATCGAGTAAGTTTGAGGGTTGTGCAAATTTTGATGAAATGCAACTGCTGCCGAGTCTGATAGCTATTTCCAAATATGCTAGAATTTTGTACACTTTTCGACCTACACGTATATGGGGGTGAAATTAAGAACTTCTGTTACTACTGGTAATTCCACCCTGAATAAAAGCCAGGTAAAATAGACCAGATTTTAGGGTTGTTCAAATTTATCTTACTTCAACTGCGATTGAGTCAAATTGTCTTTTCCCAATTTGGATTTTCCTAAGGATTTACGCTACTTTCGATCTTGTATATTACATGTGTGGAGTTGAAAATCGTGCAAGCATGATTGAAAAAAAAAATGGAGAAAGACGAGATATCAGAGTTGCACAAATTTTATTACACTGCATTTGCGACCGAGTAAAATTGGTAGCCTGAAACTGAGTTCGTTTTACTTTAAAGCTGATGTTTTTTTATAGCGTGTAATATTCCATTGCGACTCCTTCGCGTCTGTTTCTTCATGTCGTATCGACCGATGCTTTACATTAGCGACGTTCGATGCGCTTCAGATTTCAAATGCGAAGCTCTGCCACCGGATCGCAGGCGCGGGAAGGAATCAGAGCGACGCGTGTCGCAAACGGGTGCGCGCAATGTGATCGGGGAATAATTGATCCTAGGCGGCTATCGTGGAACTATTCGTCCACGATAGTCGCCGATAGACGTCGTTCCGATCTGACAAAGCGCGAGCTTGCAACCGATGAGTTTCTGCTTGTCCGCCGTGGAATTTTCGGACGCTCGACGAACGAGCTTCCGCTATTATATGGCGAACTGCTCGAATTCTTTCAGACAAACTTCCACCGCTGACTATATCTCGAAGTCTTGAAATCTCAGATCGCTGATATGACTAAATGTTATAACCAGCTCGACTCGATTTACAGTTGCAGCGCTAGAAAATGTACCCAGCTCTGAACAGCTGAAACTTGCTTGTTTCCAGCCAACTTTTTTTTCTCCCCGAGATGTAACTAAATACAATTCACTCAGACGAATTACACAATGCGCGGCGTGCGTGGCGACGTGGCGAATTACGAATTATGCGAGATTCCGAATGACGAATCCGTCGCGCACGATAGTCTGAGATTAGTTCTTGCGGAAAATGCAGTCCGCATCGGGGCTGGCGCGGAATTCACGGAGCGGTGCTGCTGAGGCTTAGCGAGAGCGAAATAAGTGAGAGGCCGGTGGGAGGTGTATGTGTGCGCGCGTGTTACCCGTTTCTTATGCAACTTCTGATAGGGATCACGAGTCGGTCAGTTCGTCGACTTTTACGGAAATATGCGCCGCACCACGCCGATATCTTCTTACCCGCAGGAAGGAACGAACGAGAGGCTATACGCGTATTCGCCAGGATTAGGAAATGCGGATCCAGGCCGCTCGTGCTTGGAACGTATCGCTGTCCCTCGCGTCTCTCGCTCGCGTCGTGACGTTGCAGCGGCTGCAGGATGTTGCATCCGACGATATTTCACCGCTTCTAAATGGGAGCCGACCTGGCGAAAGAAATACCGCCTGACCCCGCGGAGTAACTTTCATAATTCCCCGCAAGTATCGATTTCCCGCTACCTGACAACTTCCAATTGTCCCGATCAAATTCGACTCTGCGAGAACTTGATCGAGAACCGATGCGATCACCGCGTTATTATTCCAGGACCTTCGCGCGCTTGCCCCTATCCGCGATCGTTATTCCGGACTCGATATTAATACCGTAAATTGATCGGCCTCTCTCTCTCTCTCTCTCTCTCATACGTCACCATCGAGTCGAAGTCGCTGATGACATAAAGAAGTCGTCTCGTTGATCGTCTCTGCGCGGAAGTGTCGAAGACGCAGCATCTGGGAGAACCGGCGTGTCCTTCGTTCTAATGTCTGTTAGAAGAAATCAGGACGAAGTGGATGTAGAATAAGACGTGAATCCGTAGAAAGACGAGGCGAATCGTCAAATTCAATGCCCGGATACACGGGATGCTGCTGATGATTGCACCTTTTCAGTATTCACACGGCCTCACGGTCGCTGGATACACTTTTCGATGTCCCGCGTAGAACAATCGGAAATACAATGGCTGTAGTGTAAGACGTGTTACCTCTATAATCCGACGAGTAGATTTTTATTAGGCGTTTACGATGCGCGGAGTACTGTTAGGTCGTTAAATATGAAATGTCCAATTTTCTGAAGTATTAAGTTCGACAATCGATATCTCTGACACTTCACTTTTACAGGTTCTTGGTTTTTTTTGTTGTGAAGGTACATCATCACTCTTTCAAACGCACGTTTTGGTTTGTGGTTATCTTTCGAGTTGTCTTTATTACAGCAATTTTTGTGTAACCATAGATAAGTCAAGAGTGCATGTTATTTTCGAATATGAGTTCCGTCGTGGAACCAATGTATGTAACGCAGACAATTCGAAATATCAATGAAGTGTTTGATGAAGATATGGCTAATGAACGTATAGTAAGTCGATATTGGGAACTTGAATAAGTTGTCGCTGTTTTTTCGTGAAAATGAATGCTTTATTTAAAAAAATTAGTAAAGGACATGTCATTGAAAGTATTGTCCATCGCTAGCCACTACTTTCTCCCATCTTTCTGGCAACATACGAATACCATGTCGGAAGAACGACTCATTTTTTGAGGTTACCCACAAATCGACCCATTTTTTGATATCTTCATAAGAATGGAAGTGCTGCTCAGCCAGGCCATGAGTCATCGATCGGAACAAGTGGTAATCGGAAAAAGCAATGTCCGGTGAATACGGCGGGTGAGGTAGGACTTCCCATTTGAGCGTTTCCAAGTAGGTTTTGACCGGTTTTGCAATATGTGGCCGAGTGTTGTCATGCTGCAAAATTACTTCGTCGTGTCTCTCCTCGTATTGCAGCCGTTTTTCCTTCAATGCTCGGCTCAAACGCATCAGTTGTAGTCGATAGCGATCTCCCGTGATGATTTCGTTGGGTTTGAGGAGCTCATAATATACTACACCCAGCTGATCCCACCAAATATAGAGCATAAGCTTAGAACCATGGATATTCGGCTTTGCTGTCGATGTTGATACATGGCCGAGCTTACCCCACGATTTTCTACGCTTCGGGTTATCGTAGTGTATCTACTTTTCATCGCCAGTCACGATACGATGCAAAAAACCTTTTCTTTTCTGCCGTTGGAGCAGCTGTTCAAACGTGAAAAAACGCCGTTCGATGTCTTTCGGCTTCAATTCGTACGACACCCAATTTCCTTGCTTTTGAATCATCATTTCTAACGCTTTAAACGTTTGACAGCTGTTGTGTGATCAACTCCTAATGATTCTGTAAGTTCATTTTGTGTCTGACATGGGTCTTCATCGAGTAATACTTCCAATTCTTCGTCTTCAAACTTTTTCGGTACGCCAAAGCGTTCTTTATCTTCAACATCAAAATCATTATTTTTAAACCAATCTAAACCAATCTCTGCATGTTATTTCCTGCAGAGCATGGTCGCCGTAAGTCTCCACAAGAATTGTATGTGCTTCAGCTGCAGATTTTTTTTTAAAAAAGTAATGCAGTAAAATTCCCCGCAAATACTCTTCTTTTGACACTTTTTATGGTCATGTTTAACGCTATGAAAAAATATGTTGTTTATGCTTCGGCAGAATAACATATACTGTCACTTCGAGCCTAATGGTGGAGCTTCACGATGAAATTGGCTGTATTATTGTCCGATGTAAAAAGGCTAAGATAACATCATCTGTGCGGGAAACAGCGAGAACTTATTCAAGTCCTCAATAGTTTGAAAAGTTTCGTTATAATGATTTTAATCGACCCGAGACCAAGATGGATAATAATGAGCTGAAAGCTGTAGTGGAAGCGGATACATCTCAAACTATGCGTGAATTAGCAGCAAGATTTAACGCTACTATTTCAACAATATTGGAGTATTTGAAACAAATCGGCAAAGTAAAGAAGCTGGATAAGTGGGTTCCGCGTAAATTAAACGAGCGTTAGAAGAACAATCGTCTAAAAGTTTGCCTTTCTCGACTATCACGACGTAAAGGCAAATTATTTTTACATCGTATTGTTACATGTGTTGAAAAATGGATTCTTTTCGATAATCGCAAGCGTTCGGCACAATGGTTGGATAAAGATGAAGTACCGAAACACAGTTCGAAACTTAATATTCATCAAAAAAACGATTGGTGTCTATTTGATAGTCCAGCGCTGGTATTATCCACTACAGCTTCATGAAACCTGGTCATTCGATTACAGCGAGTGTCTACTGCTCATCAACTGGAAAAAATGATGAGGATGCTTACGATTAAGCAGTCGAGATTGGTCGACAGAGACAAGCCAATCCTCTTGCAAAACAACGCTCGACCACATGTAGCACAAATAACGTTGCTCAAGCTACAGGAGCTGGATTTGGAAACTCTCGGTCACCCACTGTATTCACCAGACCTTGCACCAACTGACTATAACGTCTTCCAGGCACTGGACCACTTCTTGCAAGGAAAAATATTCAATTCTCAATAAGCTATGGAAAACGCTCAACGCTTAACGCTCAACAAGCTATGGAAAACGCTTTCCGCGATTTCATCGCCACTCGCTCTTTAGGCTTCTTCGCCGCTGGCATAAATAAGCTGCTGTTAAGACGGCAGAATTGTGTCGATAGTTTGGGCGCATACTTTGATTAATTGTACTATTTCTAGTT